TATATTCATAAATTAACCATGAAACAGGTAGTGAGAATACTCAAACTTATCAGGAACAAGATATTACCTTGATTGAACACCAAATTCTCGTAACTGATTACAAAGATATGTGTAGCAGCTGGAGGGGAGAATTGACAATCAAATCTTGGGAGTTAAAGGGTTAAGCCTTTTCTTTAGGTAAGCCTGCAAATCTAGATGTGTCTTTTGTACTGTTTCTCTCCACCTAAGCTGAGAGGAGTGACAGCTATTCCTAGCCCGGCCAAGGGTAGTTAGTCATTGAAACTAACTGCATGCCTATCTGTGCTCTAGTATAACCTTTTAATGTTTTCAAAAAGCCAAGTTATTCCTTCAGAGTAAAATGCATTGTAGTGTGGGAACTCCAAAGGACACATGTTGTCTCTACATGATCTCAAAAACTGAATCTCTAATATGATACATACAGCCTTGTCACAATATAATTGGTAATGATAATGGTAGTTTCTTCATATCCAAGGATCAGTTGTGGGAAGGTCCTGCCAGGGGAGGTATGCCCTCAGATGACTAATCAGTCCTATTCTTGATAAGCAGATCCTAGGACATCAAGGGCACAGGAAGGTAGGTCCTGTTGAATCCTGCTCTTGTGCTTCCTTTTGTCATCTCCGCCTCTCTTCTGCCGCTTCTTGTCTTCTGATCTCAAAATCTTGTGCTGCTCTTCTTGTTGTTAGTCACCATGCTGCATGGTTTTCTGCAAGCTGTTCCCAATGTTTGGGGTTAATGCACGCTGGAGTTAACTGGCCCTTCAGTTGGCCTTTCCAGCATTTTCTTGGAGCCCCTCTGTCTCATTTTCCTTCTGATAGCTCCTTTGGGATTCATGTATCAGGCATACAGGAGACATGGCCAGACCATCATTGTCTCGGCATGAGCATGGCCTCCATACTGGGAAGATTGGCTTTTTCCAGGACTGCATCGTTGGTTCTGTAGTCCAGCTATCTAATGTTCATGATGGAGAAAAGGCAGCATCAGTGAAACTGATTTGCACTCTAAACAGTACCCATGCCTTGACCCCTTACAGGAGGGTATAAATGACAACAGTCTTAGATTGTCTGCATCGTCCAGCAGGCCATTTTGTATTCATATTCATAGTCCTTTTCTGTTTCCATGTCTGTCTTTTAGTTTATACTAAATCTTTAAACTTATTTTTACCTCTAAACTAGGGATACCTATTGATTGGGCCAACCAACTGAGTAAGGATGAGACAAGCTTTTTTTAGGTCACCATTACTAGACCCCTCTCTATTCAGGGCAAGCAGTGCATCCCTAGAAAAGGCTGCTTGGTTACTTGGGGTGAGCTGCTTGATTGATTATCTCTGTTAACAAGCAAGTGACCATGTTACCCTAGACCACCTTCATGCAGAGTTATTTCTGTGACTGTCATTTTTGCCATGTTCCATTGCTGCAGGTCTTTATTTCCTGCCTGCGCTCTGTATGTTTCAAGTGAGGAACAGTTCATGCACATCAATCCCACTCTTTAAGCCAAGGGAAGATTCACAGTGGCTCAGCAAGTTGAGAGGCTGTAAGATTCGTAGGGCTATAGCTTTTATAACAGAAGTGGCATCTTCTATCCTCTGGTTGAAGAGCCCACTGTCAAAAGAACAACAACTATTTACCCATAGCTAGAGCATGGGTAAAGGACTCTCTGTCATGTCCTTGAACCCAGGGTAATTGCATGACTTAATTGTCCATAACACCTGGCACTAGATAGGTTTGGATGAAGTAATCCTTCTCTTAAGTGGATTGCCCTCCCAGGCTAACGAGCTCCACCTGCCCGGGCTAGGGCTTTAAAGGCGGCCCTTTCCCGCCTGATGTACTTGTCATTGGATTTATGGAGCATTTTATAGAGGAAGCAGTGCCATCTGCAGCCTCACCCCATCCTGGTAAGTACACCGCCAGTTTGGTCTGCAACTCCTTATTCACTGGGAAGCCAGCTTATTTGGAGCTAATCTTCAGTCAAGGCCTTTCACTATCTGCCACCTTTGACCTGCTGGGTTGGGGATGGTTGCCCTGGATTATCATCAAGATAAATACAAACTTATGAGTAATTACAATTAAAGACAATAATCATCCAATCCATTATAAATGTAACAAAAACTTGGAATTTCTCCTATTCATTTAAAAACTAATATTTATTACATCTAACTACACCTGTGTAAGTATTCTTAAAAGTGTGGGCCTCTGTGGCCTTTCACAACACTCTCGTGTGTAAGAGGAAGAAGATATTCGACAGCTGCTTTATTTCCCGCCCGTACAGCCCACATTAAGGGTGTCTCATCACAACCATCCCTGGAATTAGGGTTGTGACCACGCTCAAGCAGCATCTCAATGACTGCAACGTCACCACTGATTGCTGCAGCAGATAGAACAGTCAACCCGTCCTTACTTTTCAAATTTTCATCAGCACCCATTGCAAGCAGATAGTTTGCAGCCTCCAGTTTACCGTTTATCAAGCAAAACAACAGTGGTGTTAAACCAAGGTCAGTACATCTAGCATTTATGTCAAAATTTTGAGAGAGCACAGCCTCAATAGTGACAGCATTGTTAGAAAGAGCAGCAAAATGGAGCAGACCTTGTCCGAATTTATTTTGAAGTAATGGATCAGCACCTTGAGCAAGAAGATATTTTAAAACCTCTGTATTTCCAAGACGTGCAGCATGCATCAATGGCGTGTTTCTCTCATTATCTCTAGAAACAATGCTACAACCATGTGAGAGCAACATCTCAATGGCTGCAACAGAACCACCTGCTGATGCAAGGGACAAAAGAGAGATTTTTCTCTCAGTGGTTTTCAAACTTTCATCAGCACCCTTCTCAAGCAGATATTTTGCTGCCTCCAATTTTTCAAAGATTATGGAAACCATCAGAGGGGTTAAACCCAGAGTTTCACCTCTGGAATCAATATCAAGACCTTTAGAAAGCATGGTCTCAATAATGATGACATTGCCAGACTGAGCAGCACAATGAAGAAGGCTCCATCCACCTTTCCCTTTCAGTGATGGATCTGCTCCGTGTTTAAGAAGACAATTTACAGACTCTATCTGTCCAAAAGCTGCTGCACACATTAATGGTGTGTTTCCCTTCCCATCTCTCGAATTAACACTTAAACCATGAGAGAGCAATAACTCAATTGCTGCAATACTTCCGTGCTCTGATGCAGTGTGTAAAGCATTCCTCTTTTCAGATCCTACTGTCAAAGATATATCTGCACCCTTTTGAAGAAGATATTTCACAACTTCAACATG